TAAAATGTTATATAAAATATATTAACTGATATTATTGCAGCAGAACCGTTTCCATTTTTAATAGCTCAGAAGAATTGGGTTTCTTATAAAAAAAACAACAAGACAAAGATCTTTGCGGATATGAATAACGTATAAAGTACGTATAGAAACACGATAGTGAGAAATATAAGTGGTGAGACACTCGGAGCGTGAAGTGTTTCCCTTTGGATTATCAGCTCTGGAGAGTTAACTGAACTGTGAAAGATAATGGAAATTTTACTTGTTTTAAATATTTATGTGTAAGGCGGTTTTGTCTTTGATACCAAATTGTTGCACGTGCAAATTTCTTCAATATTTACAAAAAAATATTCTTATAGAAAAATCCTTCTCATTCATATATAAAAAGATTAAGTATACAGATATAGAAAATATATTAAAGTAAAATAACTATAAAATATTTAATATAATTATCTTTCTAAAAAAAAATAATAATAAAATATTATTTTAATGTTAATAATATTATTGAATGTTATACTATAAAATACAATATGCAGCAAGAGAGATATAATCGCTTTAATTTAGTATTTATTTAGTATTTATTAGATACTAAATAATAAAATAATATAAGAATAGATTTTTATAGGCGTTAGAAACAACTGACAAGGACAACTGCAACGTTACATCTGACAAGTAATGACGTGGATGGAGACTCTACAGACAGCATACGAAGGACGTCATCCCCTTTAGAAGGGCTGCAGACAGACAAACCCTCTAGGCTCCCCATTCCCCACCTACTGTCGTCCCATCGCCATAGCAACCCCGTGCATTCAGCAGCTAACTTAACCAACCGATCTACCCCACGTCTCGTCGCTGGAATATCTTTGTGTGGAACAGAGCTTTTCCACTCTCTCTTCTTTATATTTTAATTCAGGCCGCAACGTCAGCCTTCAAGGATTCAGCGGTCAATTGGTGTGAAAGTTCCATCAGACGTTTCACAACGAGGTCAAAATACTTTTTTTTTTTATGTTTCTAGAGAATCTTCCATAATCGCCGCTTCACAGACCGTTGTCAATCGGTACTTAAGTTTCGCGAAGTTTTCAAATAGAGATTACAGAAGATTGGTGTTAATCATCAGTGAAAGTATCTCGAGAGCTTTCAATATAATTTTATGGGCGCATTATCCGAGTCAACTCCAAGCAAATTCCAAATCCAAGCGAATTTCTACGAATAATATATACAGAAATTTAAAACTTCTTAAGCGTCAAATTTTTGATTCCGTTAAAGGGGGAAATTATTCTTGAAAAATAATAATTTACAAAAATATTAGTCCACATCTTTCTATTAAAGATAAAATTTATATATTACATAAAGTAAAAATGTTGATGTTTTCACTTACGTAATTATATGATTTGTTACCTTCTAAATAAAAAAATTATTCTATAAATGTCACTATCCGATCCTGCTTTAAGATCCTGGTTCAGGATCTTAAAATGTCCATATTGAGTTATTTCTTCGGCAAGAAAGAAACGCAATTTCTGAAAAGGACGATGCTTCCATGCACAATGGAATGAAGTGTATTAGTACTCATTGCAGTAGTCGCGATCCGTAAACTCGTCAGACAGTTCAACGAGCCGAATGATCATCGCGGTCGTTCCCGAAATCATTCCGTATTTTTTCCGTTGTCTCGACTGTGTCGAATTTCGCGTATCACGAAGAAGAATTCACTCGCGACGGTTTGGCCGCTTAGATTCACGACATCTCCATCCATTTATCATCGGTAATACGTCACAGCCGAGTCGGGGCGGGTGGTCCCGGCGATTCTACTTGGAGAAACTTGAATAAAAGCCCGATTGAAAAATCGACGAGACCATAAGTCTTGTCGTCTTGTCGCCGGGGAAAAGGGGTTTTCCCACAGAGAATGAGAATACTTTCGGTGCTCGGTACCTTCGCGGTTTTAATTGCCGGTCAGGATACGAACACCGTAGTGTTCCCCTTTGTTTCCGGAAATGGCTCGTCTTTGGAGATGGGAGGTAAAATCGAGCTTCAATCGGATATGACGCGAGCAGTTCTTGCGACTCTCGCACCGTCGCAGCCGCAGCCGCAACCGCAGCCGCAGCCGCAGCCGCAGCCGCAGCCACAGCCGCAGCTGCAGCCGATGCTGCCCTCGGATTACTTTTTCCCTGGTAAAGATTTTTCTATTTTAGTTACTTTAAGAGAGAAAGACAGCGTCGTTTGATCACTTATCCTTTGTGCGCGACTATAATGAAGCTGAACGTGTCGCGCTTCGATTGTCACATTAACATCTCTCAAAGCCAAGAAATCATTTTGAAATTGGAATCGTTGCGCGTACTGAGAGGAGAAAATAATATACATTAAAGCGTAAAACTTGTTTGCAGCTTCTTGGAAAATTAGCCCTCGAAAAAAGTAAATGTTGTATAATGCATAATTATATAAAAAAAGTTAAATAATTAATTATTGAAAAAACTAGAAATAATATATATATTTAAATAGAAAATTAAATTAATAAATTAAATAAAATATACATTATATATATATATATATATATATA